TCTGGGTCATTAGCAAATACAGTTTTAAGAAGTCTAAATGTGTGGCAGCCTTGCTGCTACCTAGAGAACACTGTCACAGGGGAGTGCTCTTTGTGTCCTTGTTACATTTTGGCAAATATTTTAATTTTTCTTTCAGTAATTGTTTCCAGGAAAAGCAAAGAAGTAAGTCATAACTCTTTTCTGCCTCCATTATGAGAATGGCAATATCTCTTGTTAACACCCTAATACTTTTCTTTGAATGTCTCAGTGCCAAAGTCTCTTTTTTTCTCATGGCTGTGGGTAAATCCAGAGCATACTGCACACTATCAAGAAGGTATGGACTAGTCTCTGTTATCATGCACATCAACATAAATTTGCAGGGATTCCATTAATTTCTGGGTGCAACGCTGAAAGTGCAATGCTCCAGCACTATGGCTAGGAGCCTGAAATTCACCCAGACCATTCAGAAAGACTCTGTGTTGTCACGCTGTGCAATTACACTCCTGCTCTTTACAGGACAAGCTAGGCACGGAGTGGTTACAATAGAAGGGCTGTGTTTAGAGCATGACTTCATCAGGTGTCCCTGGGAGACATCTGAGAGCAAGTCAAAATGGAGCACCAGGACTGTCATTAAACTCGGCCAGTGGCCACAATCTGCTACCTCAGCGGCACCTGGGGTTGGTGCCTTCAATTCCAGACCAGAATGGGGACAAATGGAAGTGACTAAAAATAGCAACAAACATCCTCCTATTTCAATAGGTTCTTTTGGCCAGAAAAATTTCATTTGTTCACGTGAAATATGTGAATACGTTTTAAGCTACTTCTGTTCTACACCACTAGTTAACCATCGACTTCAAGTGAATTACTGTCCACTCGCAAGAATAATTGATACTGGCCTATAGACTTTATTAGCTGCTCCAGTTCCCTCTCAAGTGTGACACTGCTTCAAGTTGAGGAGCATCTGTTGATAAAAACACGACAAAGATTACTGTCTAAGCACTTGTATGGTTTGCACACCTCCAAAAGGTGATTATGTATCTCAAAAAGAAGTCAACATGTTCAGCATGTTTCACTTGTTGCTGAAAACTGAATGTACAGTTTAAATAGAATCTGGCATAACGAAACATCAACTGGCACTATCCTGAAATACACATTCACACAATCCCCTGCCAGAACTGGGGCTTGCTGAACACGTCACTCACAATGCTCCTAGACACTCAGCTGCTAGTGCAACTATCTTCCCAGTGAAAGGGAACCAGATGGTGAGCGACTCTTGGCATTTTTCAATGTTACGTGAAGTGTCTCTCCAGCTAGTGAGTATATGCCATGCAGTCAAGTCGCTTTGGAAACAGCCCTTCATGTCTGTCTTCAGATTTCTCCACAAACGGCAAACAGACCACTCAACAGGGAAGCAAGGCCCAAACCTGCTGTTTTTAAGTACTGAACCAACAGTCTCAGTAAGGAGTTTCTGTTGTCAGTGGAGATAAAGAAGCACCTCTGAAGGATTTATTTCACCCTTAGGTCCTGTTACACCCTCTGAGTGTTCAATTGCTCATCAGTGACCTTAAAGAAAGATTAATTTAGACAACTCAGTTAAATACCTACATTCAGGTAGGACCAACAGAGGCCAAAATCCCAAAGTGCTTGAAAGTGTTAAGTTCCACAAGTATTTGTTCAGGCAAGAAGTGCTCAACAGCTAGCCTAGTCTGCTGTTAATTCAGGTACCATAGCAGAAATTTAAAGACATGATTCTCCTCCTGGCTCTGCCAGATTAACACAGCCAAGTCATTTCTTCCTCTAGTTGAACCACATGCCTTGTAGGGCAAAGCAAAAGTTTGCAAGCAAACTTGCTAGAAGTGCTTCCAGTCAAAACACCTTACCTAAACAGCTGCTCTGAGGCAACTGGTATTCTGCTGCAGTGGACTCTCAATGACTGCATGACAAAAAAAGGATTTCAATGTGCATGAGGCAGAATGGAACGAGGTATAGTAGTGATGGTGCAATCTTAAAGAAGAAACGCATCAAGCTCCTAGAAGGAGAGGCCTCAAAAGCCCACTAGAAGTTGAAGTTTATTATTTTGGTTGTGCAGGTAAGGACTGCTTTGCTTGAACAGAAAGCTGCTGTCTTGCTGCAACATTTTGCCTTGGGGCAGTTTTCAGAGAGATGTTATCCTTCAGGAAAGATAAATTTCAGCATGTTGATTACACTACCATGCACACATACACACACAAAGAAGAAAAAAAAGGGAAATGAAAAAAAAAAACAAAGACCAGAAAAGGCTAAATGTCCTGCACAGTGAAAGATGCAAACCCTACTGAAACTGAGGTCTGTAAATGGTTAATACCAAACTGGATGGCGGTGGCTCCAAGGAAGCAGAGAAGAGGTGGAAGGCTGGGTGCATCAAGTTGGCACAACTGAAGAGACAGATACTCCCTCATTTCATAAACAGGACTACTGTTGGTAAGAGAATTACTCAGGCCACAATGCTGCAAAATAAGATCCTTCCTGTGCCCAGATGAATTACATAAACAGAAGGAGCAAATAACTTACACATGAGGACAAGCCAATCTTTTACTGATACCAATGGAAGGATTTCTTTTGAATGTAAAGGGAGCTGAGGTGGATGGATCAGGCCCAAGAAGTGTAGCATGTTCAAATGTATAATTAATTTTTAATGACTGTAAATGTTCCAATGTGTTAAAAGGAACTGCTCTCTGGCAGTGTATCCTCGGTTTAATTTCATGAGACACATTCCTGCACAGACCTTACTAGGTTCCTGCAAACACAAGGTTGAAAGCACTGTGCTATATGGGAGAATACATTCTCACTGTCTCCAAACCTCAACTGTGATTCATCACACACAAAGTTCATTTTTAATAAGACTTAAAACCAGACTAGCTCACCTACAGTGGTTGTTCTATAGTAAATCTGCACTTGGAAAATTGATTCTGTATTTCCCTAGCAAGCCTTTTTGGTGATTTACAAATCCCATTTACTCAGCTAACACATGCTCCTTTGAAGTCAAGGGACTGCTAGCCAATGACTACAATGGACACAGGGAAGCAAACCAGAACAAGTTATAACTGATATACAGATAAGACTTTTCTGTCACAGTTTTGCAAATATCTTACTGAACACTGCCAGTTACAGCTGAACAAAATACAAAGGATGTACTTCTCATCACTGGTAAACTCTCCCACGCCTGCCCATTAAACTAGCCCATTATGAAACCTAGATACTACCACTAACAAGTGGTACATTTCTACTGCTGTCATTGTTGAGATTTCCAGTTTTCGCTTCCTTTCCATTCCATTTAAATATTTTCCAACCAATGTACTCCAATTCACTCGAAGCTTATGAGACCACCATATGAATCCTCATTTCCATCTTACAAAAACTTGCTCCCCTCTCACAACCTTAGAGATTTGTAAGGCCATAAAGGATTGTTATGATCATCAGTGCCACCCTGCTGCAAAACAGCCAGTGGAATTTGACCAGTCTTCCTTAGTACTGCAAGAGAAAGCCACTAATCTGCTTCCAAATACATGCAGTATTTCAAAAAGCATTTCTGATGCAGTGTATCTGGTGGTAGGGAGTTAAAAATACTTCTATTAGTTTATATAAAATTATACATTTTACTAAGAGACAAACATGACCAGAAATCAAGTAAACTCTCTACTATTACTCATGTCTCCTCCTTATTTTGCTAGTTAAAACAAGAAACTTGATCTTCTCATTAAGAAAATGTTTAACAGGCCTGCAACTATCTGCAAGCAATAAGCCTTCTGTCTCCCGGTCTTCTGATTCCATTCACAAGCTGTGTTTCATTACCAGCGGTAAGCCAAAAATAAGTCATTTGCTCCAACAATTACTGTGAATTCACTCTGCTTTTGCTGTCTCTTTGGCATCTCTTTATAAACTACCATTTTATTAGCTCCTCACATTAATTTGTTTTATTCAACTTTAAAAGGTCTGCTGATACTGGTTTTCTGAATCCTACCCTAGTCCTAACTTCACTCCTCCTACCCAGCACCCAAAATTGCTGGGGCATATTGTGAAGCATCAGTTAAGTGCAATATCCTGAGAGTTTTCCAAGGGAAAGCAAGCATTTCTTGCTGGTTAATTCTGTTGGAGCTGCAGCCCTTGATTGAATCACTTAAGGAAACTGTTTCAAACAGAACGTATGTCATTACCCTCATAGAGACTGGCCTGAGTCCCACTCATATTTACACTGGTGTCACAAATTTACAGTGGCCCCACTGACGCAACTGCTCCAGCAAGACCAGTGGCGCGGCTCCAGATTTACGCTGTGTCACTGAAGGGCTGGATGGAACCCTCCCTTCCCACCTCTCACCTGGAGGTTTTGGGGTGCAGCTGGGCTGGTGCCTCCCTGGCTGCTCAGACTCTGCTGCACTTCACCTGCCCGCGCCCGGCTGCGGCTCCCTCAGCCTGGGGCTTTGCTCCCAATACCCCACGGAGCCTGGGACCCTGCTGAGGTCGCAGCTCAGCCAGGACGGAGAAAACCCACGCTGACACCAGAATAAACGCACCTCCCCGAAAGGCACTGTGACCCCCGAGCGCTCCCAGCACCGGGACGGCCCAGGGAAGGGGATCGGAGAGTGACCGGTCCCTCTATCCCAGGAGCCAGGTCAGCCCGGGGGTCTGGGCCGCCCTGAGGGAAGGGGGGCTCAGGGCTGTCTTTGGGGAGGACTCTGCGGGGGAGGGACGGCGGCTGGATGGCCCCGAGGGAAGAAGGATCCAAGGCCGCCATGGAGAGGGCTGTGGGACCCCCTGAGGGCCGGGGAGCAGTCCGAACCGCCCTGGGAGGAGAGGGTCTGGGCCACCTTGAGTGAGGGACGGAGTCAGGGGCTCCCTGAGGGAAGGTGGGTGACAGGGTGGTCCTGGCGGGGTCTGGCCAGGCAAGAGCCGTGGTGCGGCCCCCGCACAGCGGGAGCAGCAGGTGAAAGTTGCGCGGCGGCCGGGGCTGGGGGCCGGGCGGGACCGGGAGTCGCCCCACTCACCTCATCCCCTTGGCCGAACTGCAGCCCCAGGGCAACGAAGTGCTCCACCCGGATGAAGCCGTCCGCATCCTCGTCGCAGACGTCGAAAACCTCCTTGAGCTTCCGCAGGAACCGCAGCAGGCTCGCCGGCTCCATCGCGGGCATTAGCTGAAGGCCGGCGGCACGGCCGCGGCCGCAGCACCCATGATCGCCCGCGCCTTCAGCGGGTGCGTGACATCAGCTCCGGGGAGCGGGGCGGGAGGGACAGCGAGAAGGAGGAGGGAGGGATGGAGGAGAGCGGAGGGAGGAAGCGAGGGAAGGGAGAACAATAGGGCAGAGCTGGAGGATGGGGAGGGAGAGGGCGGTGGGAAACCGCGCTCGGCAGGGGCGGAGCCACCGCCAGGGGGCGCCGCGGTGAGGGGAGAGGCGGGAAGCGGGGCGCGAGGGGAGGGTGGTGGGCGAGGCGGGGAGCGGCGGCAAACGCGGTGGGGGCCAGAGGCCGTTTGGGGGGGCGGCAGCCATGGGGAGTTTCCCTGGGCAGGAGAATCGCCGCAGGGTGGAGGGAACGGCGAGGGTAGCGGGATGGAGAGCGCGCTCCCCTCCAGCGCCCGGGGGATAGGAAGCCTGGCATCCCCTGGGTCCCTTTCCTGGCTGTCAAAGACCGACTCACCGTGCCTTCACTGCTCCGCACCTCAGGCCTCCCTGCCGCCCCACATAAAACACCAGTCATGCTACAATTTGTCCTGAGAAAAAGCTATCGATCCTGGTCTGAAGAGGCCCAGGCTAGGGGGAGAACAACAGTCGGGGCAATTAAGGAAAAGGAGGACAAGCAAAGCTTCCCATGCTCCACTACGCTCAAGTGACCAGGCAGAGCCACGCTGAGGCACTCCTCACAGCTGGGTTTGGCTTAGGACAGATACTGTTCACCCACACTGTAATGAGACATAGCTGGTAATGAAGGGATGTCCCTGCCTTTGCAGGATTCCTCATTAAAGCTGCCTGCAACTGCTGTGCTCCATGGCTGGGTTTTAATTTGATCTCTCTGCTCTGTTCCTTTCTCAGAATTTTTTTGACTGCGTTTTTAGCCCACAGCTGTGACCTGCCAGAGGGATGACCAGGAATGGTTCTGGTTCCTGCATTGTGCCTCAGACGAGGAATGACAGGGCAAGAAGGAGCACTGGCCAACTCAAGCTCAGGTATTTACTGCCTCTGCCAGCACTTCTTGCCCACTGTGGTTGTTGAGCACAGGTGACCATCCATCACTGAGTGAAAGTGAATCTTCTGTAGCTGATTGATAAAGCTGTCCATCTAAAATGACCACGAAAGTGCAGCAGATTTTGATTTGAGAGAGTATCCATTCATTTGCTTCTTGCAGCAAGAGAGGTCCATATGGCCCTTAGCAACCCTGAAAATCCCATGATTAGAGCAAGCTAGTCAAATTACTATTTTTTCTAGGAACCAATAGGAGCGTTCTCCTCAGGAAATCTTGTTTCTTTGAGCAGGAGTATCTCACGGCCCTATAGGCTGTAAGTCTATCAACAATACAGTGACAGTACACACCGTACTAACAAAACAGCTCTCCACATATCCACCCTCTGACACACAGATAAGGAACTGGTTTCAGAGCCTCTGCTACCTTGACCTTACTTTTTTTGTTTTACAATAAATACAGAAGAATTCTCCTGTTCCGTTACTGATGTACAAAAGGGTCTCTTCAGACTGGAAAAAAATCAAAGTGCAGAGATCAGATACGACCCTTGGGAAGCAAAGAATTTATGAAGAGATGTGAGGAGGTCTGAAAGAGAAAAGGGAAGAAAAATATTTGATCAGAAAACTTCTCTGAAGTTGTCTAGTTAGAGAAGGATTCTTAAGATGTTGGGACATTTAGCTTTTATCTCAGGACCCTTGAACTCATCTTCCAATTATGTGTGGATTGAGTTTAGCACACCCCTCAGGGGCATCTATTCAAAGTATTCACATATCTGTGAGCTGATACCCCTGAGTTGTGGAAAGCACACCTATGAGGAATCAGATACTATTAGTCTAACTGCTCTGAAGTGAAATTCAACCTCTTCAAAGCTTCAGAGCTCATCTGTCATTGTCCCACCTTGTTTGCTGAGATCTCCTCAGAGTACCTTCTTGCACCATCCGACTCGCCAGTCTGTGTACAGGTGGGGAGCTATACAGTCCCAGACAGGGAAGTGGAGTCACACCAAGTATTGTAGGGAAAATAAAAAGGAATACTTATTCCTTTTTACTGTGACCAGAGGGGGAATTCACATACCTCAGAGAGGTGTCCTGATTTTAGCTGGGATAGCGTTAATTTTCTTCCCAGTAGCTGGTATAGTGCTGTGCTTTGGATTTAGTATGAGAATAATGTTGATAAGACACTGATGTTTTTAGTTGTTGCTAAGTAGTATTTATACTAAGTCAAGGACTTTTCAGTTTTTCATGCTCTGCCAGCCAGGAGACTGGAAGGGCACAAGCAGTTGGGAGGGGACCCAGCCAAGACAGTTGACCCAAACCAGCCAAAGGGCTATTCCATACCATATGACATCATGCCCAGTATATAAACTGGGTGGAAAGCTGGCCAGGGACCACTGCTCAGGAACTGGCTGAGCATTGACTGGCAAGTGGTAAGCAACTGCATCGTGCATAATTTGTTTTATATATTCTAATTATTTTTTTTCCTACCTTTTTCTGTCTTATTAAACTGTCTTTATCTCAACCTACAAGTTTTACTTGTTCTTTTTCCTGATTCTCTCCCCCATGACACTGGGTAGGGAGAGTGAGCGAGCGGCTGTGTGGTACTTAGTTGCTGGCTGGCATTAAACCACGATAAGGGGTCACACTCTATTTCATGGAACCCAATTAATTTCCACCGGTGGTTCTGCTGGAGGAAGAAGGAACTTATTCTAGATACACAAGTAAACAGCAACATAGATTTAGACCAAAACTGTCAGCATTAAAATCTGTGTCATTCTTGCATTAATTTCTAAAGGGGGGGTGGGGGTGGGGGGTGGGAAGAGGAATAAAAAGCTCCAGGTATAGACACTACAGTTTAGGGAGTTAATAGTGAAATCTTAGAATGGCTGCAGACAGCTTGAGTGCCAGAGAGCACTGGAATCAAGCCGATAGGAGAGCTGAAGAGGCTGTAGAAGCTGTCATTGTAGACAGCTGAATATTTTGAGCAAAGATCTGACAGCTGGGAGATGATTTGACAGCACTGAACACAGAAGAATTGGTATGTGAGATGCTGTCAATAAAGGTCCAGGATCTGAAAGCTGGGGGTGCCCCAAGTGTGCTAAAGTAAGGGCACTGAGCTGAGCATGTGCCACACTTGTTGAGCAACTGCACTGGCAAAGTACAATTTGTGAGCCTGAATCAAGGAGGAAGTCAATTTTAGTGCCAGTGGATGTAGTTGGTGTTGTTCCTTGCTGATCTCTGCTTCTCCAGTTCTAAGTAGAACATGTCTGCTAGTACTACTTGGCTATTTTTCCTTACTGGTATATCAAAATACTTGTTTAATCAGAGATGGCTGGCAACTTCTTCATTTGGCTCATGCACTATGTGGAATAAATATTTTAGATGCTGCAAATCTGAACCTGAAATATGACTAGTGGTGGTGCTACCATACTTGCCTGTTAACAGTAAATAGTCCAAGAAGAAACGTTTCCTTGAATACCACAAGCCATGGCTGTCATTTGCAGGATTTCTTTACAATTATCTGCTTTTCCATTAATGTTACTTCCACTTACATGGCAAATTGTAATCTGGTGTCAGAAACAGCATCCAAGGAGTGCATTCCCCAAGCCTGCTGACCTTATCTACAATTCTGGTTGTGTTCCAGCATATAGTAACAACATCTTGAGACCCAGACTCTCAGAACAGCTTCACAGCACAGTTTCTGTTTATAGTATGCACAATGTAGCTTACTGTATTTTGAATCAAATCCCGTTTCCCATTAACTACTGTAGCTCTGATTAGCAACGTAACAGATGTGCTTTATCAGTTGGTATTCTCTTTGATCTGAAGTGTCATAAAGAACAGGTAACAGGCAGCAAGAACTAGCTTATTAATACTCTTTCCCTCCCTGAAAACTTAAAAATATTACTTAGAAGTTAATGGAGTTTTCTCAGGCTAGCTTAATTAGATATGGCACAGAAGGAAGATACTTGATTTTTTTGTTACTGTAATTTTCTCAAATATTTTTTTCTATTATAACAACAACAAAAAAAACCCACAAACAAATTTTGGGGAAATGTTTCAACAAGTAAGTATCTTCCTTTGCAATTTTCTAGTTGCTAAAGGACCTCACCTTGTAAAAGTTTTAGTGGCTTAAATAGTATGAATGCTCTTTCTTGATTTCAATAGCACTCTTACTGGATTATGAATTAGGTATGTGCATAACTCTGTTAGATGAACCCAGTTAGACAGCTAACTGCAGTTACCTCAGCAAACACACTAATGCCTTTATTTGTGTCTTCTTACAACACAAATACTACCCTCAAGACATTGATCACAAAGTTTTAAGGATAGGCAGGGAATACACCCTTTGAAAAAGAGTGTGCCTAAGTACAAATCACAAGATCAAATGGTATGTGCTGGTTAAAGCAGGCTGGGCTGTCACAACTATAAAGCCTTCTTGTAATTGGGGTTGTGCTCACAAAGACCAAAATACCCATTCTCATTAAGTTATTGCTAAAATTAAATAATCCTCTCTACCGGTTCACATAAAATCATTTCCACTGTGAATTCACAAGAGCAAATTGATGTTTCCAAGTGCTGACCAGGTATTTCCAGGGACGGCAGCAGGAGTTAGGGGCTAACACCAGCCTGTTCCCACGGTATTTGAAGGTCTCTGTACCCCACCACGTGGCCAGTCATTTCACTGCACTTTTGCCATCAGCCGAAAGAATCCATTGCTGGCCACCTTGCACGGGGCAGCAAACTGAGGCTACTGTGGTTGGTAAGAAAAATAGTATGTAAAACAGAGGTGAATGAATAGTATAGAATAGATGAATAGAAAAGGTGAATGAACAGAGTAGAAAAAGCAAGCATTATTCCCGTTACAAGAAGTCCCACAGTCTTCCAAATGCCCGGGCACCAAACATCTCTCTTGGCTACCTACATGCCAGAAGCCTCTCTGCTGCCTTCTCTTAGGGAAAGGACAGTACCTGTCAACTTTTCTGTGACAAACTCTAAGCAGTTGGGTGGATTTACATTTGCATCAGATTAGAATGTGCAACAGCATCTGGCAGCCTCCTGAAAGTGTTAATGGTGCTAGAAAGCACCTGACAGCTGCGGGGCCACCAGGTCATTTATATCCCTTAGTGCTTCAGCAATAGATCTCCACTCCTTCACGGGAGATTCTGGGTAC